CCATCCATCATCCATCATCCATCCATCCATCATCCATCCATCCATCCATCCATCATCCATCCATCCCACCCATCCCATCCATCCATCCATCATCCATCCATCATCCATCCATCCATCCATGCATGCATGCATGCATCCATCCATCCATCATCCATCATCCATCAATCATCCATCCATCCATCCATCATCCATCCATCCATCATCCATCCATCATCCATCCATCATCCATCCATCATCCATCCATCATCCATCATCCATCACTCATCCATCCATCCATGCATCCATGCATCCATGCATCCATGCATCCATCCATCCATCCATCCATCCATCCATCCTTCCATCCATCCATCCATCCATCCATCCATCCATCCATCCATCCATCCATCATCCATCATCCATCCATTCATCCATCATCCATCCATCCATCATCCATCCATCATCCATCCATCCATCCATCCATCCATCCATCCATCCATCCATCCCACCCGCCCACAGGTCCTTCTCCTCACTCACCCCCACCCATGCCACTGCAGGCCGTGTCCCAGCACCCCTGGGTGCCCCATCCCTGCCCTGCCCAGCCCCATCCACGCTGTTCCCACCTTCCTGGCAGTGGCTGCCGGCGTGCCCGGGGCAGCAGCGCCATTCCAGCGCCGTCACTGTCCTGTAGGCCACCCTGTAGAGGGGCCGCAGCACGGCGCGGTAGCTGTGGCACAGAGGGGTGGCACTCACACCCGTCCTGGGGACGTCCCCCTGTCCCTGCTCCCAGGGGACCCCCTCACCTGCCCCCGCTGCAGGCCAGGGGCCAGCGGCAGCCCTGGAAGACCCTCCGGAGGAACGTCCCGTTCTGGACGTGGCACGACACCGTCCGTGTCACCGTGTAGGAGCACCAGTTGCTGCAAGGGGAACCAGCGATGTCACCAGCCCTCGCGCAGGGACACCCTGGGCGTGCTGCCACCCTGCGAGACGCCCGTCCCCGCTTTTTGGGGTGCCCGTGGGGAGCCCTGCTGTGGCACGGGGGCCGCATGTTCCTGCTGCATTCCCGGCAGCGCTGGCCCGGAGCTCCCCGCGCCCCCAGCCCACCCCACACAAAGGCTCCTTTCTCCTGCCCCACATGCCAGGCTCTGCCCACCCCCTCTCCGGCCACCCCAGCCTCAGTTTGCCCCTGCAGAGCGGGACACACCGGTGCCGTGACGCCGAGCGTCCCCGTCCCCGCGGTGGGAAGGACTCGCCGTACCCTCGGCAGCTCCAAACTCAGAGGCTGCACAATTTGGGTCAAAAAAATGAGCTTTTCGGGACCGCTGCAGTGCCGCAGGGAGGGAGGCGGTGGCAGCAGGGACAAGCGGGCGCCGCGGGGGGACAATTGTCTGGGAGGTGCCGGAGGCGGGGGGGACAGCGGGGTGGCACAGGGCTTTCCGGCCGGGCAGCGTCCCAGCCGGCGCCGTGCCAGGGCTGTGGAAGCGCAGAGCCCGCCGGAGCTGTGGCCACGCTGCCGCCCTGCCATGCCAAGGGGCGCCCGGGTGGCATCGTCCCCCTTGGAGGGGCACCCAGCTGCTGGCGGTGCCAGCTCCAGCTGTGGGAATGCCTGTTGGGATGGGATGGGGATGGGTCCCGGCTCGTTTCCCAAGGGGAATGCCCTCCCAGGAGCGGGGCAGGAGCTGGCAGGCTTTGGCATGTGAGCGCCCGCATGGCCCGGCGTGACCCCCGCCCACCCGGCACCGCACTGGCACCGAGGGGGTCCGGGCTCTGCTGCCAGGGCTTGTGCCCACCCGGGACAAAGCCCACACCAGGTTTGGCTCCGAATCCCGCTCCCATTCCCAAAATCAGCCGCTTGGCTTTGTGCCCCCGGCTTGGGCACGTGGGATGCCAGCGGTGCGTCAGGGAGGGATGGGGTGGGATGGGGTGGGATGGGGTGGGGGCTCGTGGGTGCTGGGTGCTGGCCCGGGGGGACACGGCAGGGTTGTGCCAAGGCGCCGGGGGCTTCCTAGGCTTGGCCGGGAGGGGAAGGGGAAATGAGGCGGCTTCTGCCCGTCGCCTCACCGAGCCGAGCGGAACCGGGAGGTCCCGGCAATCCGGTGCCGCAGACACGGCCAGAGGCAAGGGTTTCCTGTAAACAACCCCCCCACCCCCGCCGCTGCGGTGGGACAGGGACCACAGCCCCCCACAGCACCACAGAGCCCCGGGCTGGGCCACCTCCGAGGCACGGGCGGGACCCTGGGGCTGGCGACATTCACATTTCACCAACTCCAGCACTCCCAGTAGCCCCAGCACCCCCAGTATGCCCAGGGAACCCCACCGTGCCCAGCATTCCCAGTACTCCCAGCATGCCAAGGCAGAGCCACTATCCCAATATGCCCAGGCAAACCCAGCAGCTTCAGCATGTCCCTGTATGCCTAGGCAGCCCCAGGATCCCAAAATGCCCAGGCAGCCCCAGTAGCCCCAGCACCTCCCAGCACCCTGCTGAGCCTGGCAACTCTGATGCCCCAGTAAGTCCAGCTGGCCCCAGTATCCCCCAGTGCCCCCAGTATCTCCCCCACCCCAGCATCACGGCCCACGCAGCCCCTCCCTGCCGGTGCCCCCCGGTCCGTGGTGCCCCCACGCCTGGTACAGAGCCTCCCAGTGCCCACAGAACCCCGTGCCTGATGCCCCCGACACCCGATGCCCCCATGGCTGATACTTTGGACCCCTGGTAGCCACAGATCCCCGGAGCCTCCCAGGTGCCCTCATCCCTAAGCCGCCGGTGTCCCCCGTGCCCGGATCTCCCTGACGCCCCTGGTGCCAAGCACTCGGTACCCAGTGCCCGCAGCTACCGGTGCCCGGTGCCCCCCGGTACCTCCAGCCCATGGTGCCTCCCGGTACCCGGTACCCACAGCCCCCGGTGCCCCGCAGCAGGCGACGCTGCCCCGGTGCCCGCATCCCCGTGTTGGCGGTGCCGGTACCTGCGGGCGGCGGGCGGCAGCAGGGCCGGGCTCCAGGCGGCGGCGGGCAGCGGCAGCAGCAGGCAGAGGGACAGGCAGAGCCCCGGGGCTGCGGGCAGCGCTGCGGGCAGCGCCGGGCGGCGGCGGCACCCCCGGCCCCCGGCCATGCCGCTCGGCGGGGCTCGGCGCTGCCCGGCCACCGGCACCGGCACCGGCACCGAGCGGGCGGCGGGGGAGGGGAGGAGGAAGGAGGAGGGATGGAGGAGGAGAAGGAGGAGGAGGGATGGAGGAGGGACCCCCCGCCTGCCCCCCCGCCTGCTCCGCCGCCTTCCGCCCCGCCGGCACAGGGGTCCCGCCGGCGCAGGGGCGGGCTCGGGAACGGGGGCAGCTCGGGAGCGCGGGGGGCAAACCGGCCCCGGGGGGGACGCGGGGGAGTCAGGGGGGCCGGGGGACAGCGGTCCCCGTGGGAGGGATTGGGGGCACACGCGTGTGCAGGAGCCTGCGTGTGCATCCCTGTGCTTGCATCCCTGGGCGTGTGCGTGGATTTACACACGCGTGTGCGTACAAAATTCGCGTTTGGCCGTTGCTTAACACACTTTTACGCACACACACAGAATCCACGCGTGTGCGTGCCCGTGGATTCACACACGCGTGTGTGCACCCAGGCGTGTTTGTGCCTGCGTGTGTGTGCACGGCCCGGGCGTGTGCTCACCCACCACCCACCCTCCTGTCTGTCTGTCTGTCTGCCTCTTTGTCCGTCTGTCTGTCTGTCTCCTGCTGTTCTTCCAGCTGCCTCTGCCGTGTGTGTGTGTGTGTGTGTGTGTGTGGTCCCCGTGTCGGGGCGTGCAAGGAGACCACGTGTGTGTGCGTGTGTGCGTGTGTGCATGTGTGTGCATGGGTGTGCGCGGGTGGTCCCTGCAGACTGTCTGTCTGTCTGTCTGTCTGTCTGTCTGGGGACACATCCCTGCAATGGCAGCACCCCGGGACCCCCCACCTTGTCCTCTGTGGGCTGTGGGTGGGGGGCTCCCCAGCGCATCCCCCACCCTGCCCCCGTCACCCGCGGTGGGCACACAGGAGGACCCAGCGTGGGACCTCCCCCCAGGGACCCATGGGTGCCCCTGGGGTCCCCCCCAGCCCTGCAGGGTGTCCTTGAGGCGGGGCCCCGCTGCTGTTTACCCTCGTGGGTGCCGCGGGAGCCGAAGGTCACCCACGCTCCTGCTCAGACTAAACACGGCTGCGGCAGCGCCCGGGGCCCTGCGTGGGGACAGGGGCTTTGCACGTGTGTGTCCCCACACCGATGTAGGGCCCAGCCTCAGCTGCACAGGGTCTTGTCCCCAAGGCCCTAAATGACACCCACCCGGCCCTGGGTTCACCCATCTGATGGCTTGAGCCTCTTCAGGGCTCCTTGCGGGGACTTCAGGTCCCTCTGCTGTGGCCCTGTCCCACCTCTGTGTTCCCATCACAGCTTCACGTCCCTTTATCAAGTCCCAGCTCTGTGCCCCTGCTCTGGCTCCATGTCCCCATGGCATGGCCCTGCCCTGGATTCGTCCCCGTGTCCCTGCCATGTCCCCAAGGCATGAGCCAGCTCTGTCCCACACTATGTCCCCACCCCAATCCGGATCCTGGTCCTGTCTCCGTGTCCCCATCCCATCTCCATGTCCCCATCCCATCTCCGTTTCCCCATCCCATCTCCGTTTCCCCATCCCATCTCTGTGTCCCCATCTCCGTGTCCCCATCCCATCTCTGGCCCTATCCCATCTCTGTGTCCCTATCCCATCTCTGTGTCCCCATTCCATCTTTGTGTCCCCATCCCCATGTCCCCGTGTCCCTGCCCCGTGCCAGCCCAGCAGGACACCCGGGCACAGCTCACTGCCCCGGTGGCAGCGGGTGGCCCCTGCCCGTGTGGGCTGGCAGGGAGCGAGGCCCCCACCGTGGGGACAGGAAGGGGGATGGGTGGGTGTCCCCATGCCCGACCTCGCTCCACCAGGACCCCCCATGTGCCCGAGGCCACCGCGGCCATCGCTGCCCGGCCCCCAGCCCAACCCAACCCAACCCTGTCCCCAAATCTGTCCCTCCATGGGCACAGCCACAGTATCAACTCTGTCCCAGATCTGTCCCTTCCTAGGCACAGCCATGGTGACAACTCCCCCATTCCCAGATCTGTCCCCAAATCTGCCCCTCCATGGGCACAACCAGAGTGACAGCTCTCCTGTCCCCAGATCTGTCCCCAAATGTCTTTCCATGAGTACAACCTCAGTATCAACTCCCCTGTCCCCAAATCTGTCCTGCCACGGGCACAGCCCTGACAGCTCCCCTGCCTCCAGGTCTGTCCCTTCATGGTCTCAGCCAGAGTGACAGCTTCAGATCTGTCCTCAGATCTGTCCCTTGGCAGGAAGAGCCACAAGCCCTTGGGCTGAAGGTGACAGATACCGGGGTGTCTTTGTGGCTCAGGGCCTCCTGACACCTCACGTGCCTCAGTTTCCCCACAAGGCTGTGGGAAACACCTGTCCTAAGGGGGGGACAAAGTGTCACCTCGAGCAGTGTGACACACCTGGGGGACAACCCCCATGGGAACACCCAGTGGAGGCGCCTGGCCCCAGTGCAGATGCTGGGTGCCCAGTGTGTGTCCCTGGTCCCCCACGCGTGTCCCCGCCGTGGCTGTCCCTGCTCCTGGTGTGTCCCCACTGTGGGTGCCCACACCCAGAACAGGTCCCCGGTGCAGATACCCGGTCCCCTACGTGTCCCAGGGGTGTCTCCACAGTGCCCAGCGTGTGTCCCCGGTGTGGGGGCCTGGCCCCGGTGTGGCTGCCCCATCCCCGTGCGGGTTCCCGGTACAGACACCGAAACCCCGGTGCCTGTCCCCAGTGCGGACATCGGTCCCGGTGCCTGTCCCCAGTGCGGACATCGGTCCCGGTGCCTGTTCCCAGTGCAGACACCCGGTCCCGGTGCGTGTCCCCGCTGCCTGTCCCGGCTTCCCCGACTGTGACCCCGGTCCCGATGCGCGCCTCCGGTCCCGGTGCCCGCTCCCCCGTGCGTGTTCCCGATCCCGGTGCCGATGCCCGTTTTCCCGTGCGTGTTCCCGATCCCGGTGCCGATGCTCGTTTTCCCGTGCGTGTTCCCGATCCCGGTGCCGATGCCCGCTCCCCCGTGCGTGCCCCCGCTCCCCGGCGCGCGTTCCCGGCGCGCGTTCCCGGCTCGGGTGCCCGCGGCCGTGCGCGCCGCCGGTGCCGGTGTCGGTGGCTGCCTGGCGCTGGCTGAGCGCTGCCGCCGCCCGGCCCCGCCGCCGCCGCCGCCGCTCCCGGAGCGGCCGCGGGTCCCGGTGCGGCCGCGGCCGCCGGAGGTAACGGGCGGGGGCCGCGGCTGGGGCGGCGGCGGCCATGGCGGGCGGGGGGGCGGCTCGGGGGGCGGCGGGACCGGGCACCGGCGGGCTGGGGGATGCCGTGCATCGCTGGGAACCGGGCACCGGGCTGGGGGGACGAGGCACCCGGGGGGCCGGGGCCGCCGTGCCGCGGGGGGGACCGTCCGCCGGAGGGATGGGGGCTGCCGTGCAGCGGCGGGGACCGTGCGCCGGGGGGGCACACAACAGGCGCCCGGCGGGGAGAGCCTGCCGCGCTCGGGGATACCGTGCACCGGGGGGCCGTGCACCGGCGGCCTGGGGGCTGCCGTGCAGCGCGGGGGACCGGCGGCCGGCGGGGGACCCTGCAGCGGGGGGCTGCCGTGCGGCGGGGGGGCACCGCGCACGGGGGCCAGGCCTGGCCGTTCAACCCCCCCCCCTCTCCAGGAAGAGCAGGCAGGCCCCGGTTTGGGGGGGCTGTTGGCCCCGGGGGGGCTCAGGGCTGGGGTGGGGGTCCCCCCCGCTCCGCGGCGCTCGGGGTCACGGCGGGCGCGGGGCGGGCGCACACGCGTGCGGGGTGCGCGGTGCGTGTGTGCACCGGCGAGCGGAGCGGGTGGCCGCGCGTGTGGCCGCGGGGGGGTTGTTGTGCTGCCCTGGCTCCCCGCGTCCGTCCGTGCGCCTCTGTCGGTGCCGCTGTCCGTCCGTGTCACCGGCCGCGCGTGTGCCAGCGCGTGTGCCCGTGTCCCTCCGTGTCGGTGTGTCTGTGTGCGCCCGGCCGTGGCTGTCCCTCTGTCTGCCGCCTGTTCGTGCAGCGATCCCGCCTTGCGCGGGCCCCCCACCCGCCGCCGTGGGGCTGGGGGCTGCCGTGGGTGGGAGCGGGGGGAGCGGGGGGCCGGGATCACCCCCAGCCCGATGCCTGCAGTGCAGATCATAAATCAGCGGCGGCTGGAGCGGGATCCAGGGCCCGCGGGCTCCCCGGCACCCAAAGCCCCGGCGCGGGGAGCGATGAGGCTTCCCGGGCTCGTGAGACCCCCGGCAGCCCCCCAGGGCCGTCAGCAGGGTGGCCCGTCCCCCCCCGTCCCCTTTGTCCCCTCTGTCATGCCGGAGGCCGGCAGCCGGCCGGGGTTGGCAGGCAGCCCACGCTGCCAGGGCTGCGGGCACCGCGGCCTCGCTGCCCTCCGGCTCGGCGGGGCGACGGGGACGCTCCCCCAGGTGCCACCCGCCTGGCGGTACCCGCGGTGACCCGCGCTGTGGCCCTGTTTTGCAGGTGACATCCCCCTCACTGGCCACCGGTGACGTGCTGGGCGGCGGGGACAGCCGCGGAGCCAGCGAGGACGTGGGCTGAGCGGCAGGACACGAGGAGGAAGAGGAGTGGGTGTCTGGGGGGACAGCACGGTGGCTTGTGCGTCCCCATCACCGCTCACGACACACCGCCATCCTCCCTCCGACGCAGTCTGCGAGGTCCTGGTGGCTTTTTGGAGCCTGAGCCCTGCCAGCAGCACCGCCGGGAGGAGGAAGAGCCGGGGAAGACGTGCCGGGTGATGGATGGCCCCAGCCCCGCGCGGCGGCCCCGGGGCAGCGGCACCGGGCGGCTCGGGGACCTCGGGCACCTGGCCGGCAGCACCGGCCCCCGCAGAGCCCCGCAGCGCCGGCTCCGCTGAGCTCCGGGGCCCGCAGCCGGACGAGGATTTGGAGGGGCCCCGGGTGACCCCCGCGCCCCCGCGGCGGGGCTGAGCCGCCGTGCCCCGGGCATGGCACGGCAGGGCTCGGGGGCCATGCTGGCCTCGGGGGGCCTGGGGTTCCCCCCGCAAAACGTCGCCCGCGTGGTGGTGT